TGGACATCGACTGCAAGAAGTTCGCCAAGGACGTGCGGTCCCTGGACAAGGAGATGAAGACCTGGGACGCCTTCGTGGGGCTGGACAACACCGTGAAGAACATGATCACCTCGCTGCGCGCCGTGAGCGACCTGCAGAACCCCGCCATCCCGTTACACGGCTTTCCGGGGAGGGACGGTGGGGCTGGGAGAAGGAACTGCCCGCTCTCTCGGGGCCTGGGATGGGCACGGACCTGCCTCTCTGGGAGGGACAGAGGGGTCCTTGTGTGGAACCTGCTGTTTTCCCGGCCCCAGGTGAAGTTTGAGATGTCGGAGGACACTGTGCTGGCGGACCTGCTCCAGCTGAACCTGCACAAGTTCGAGGATGAGGTCCGGAACATCGTGGACAAGGCGGTGAAGGAGTCCGGGATGGAGAAGGTAGCCCTGTGGACGGGAAAGGTGGATTGTCCGGGAGGAGAAGGTAGCCCTGTGCACGGACAGGGGTCTTGTCCAGGTGACACTGAAGCAGAGGCCCCACCTGCAGGCCTGTCCCCCTTCCCTGGGGCCGGTGCTCACAGAACTCGAAAGGGATGTCCCCCGGGCCTCGTCTTGCCCTGCCCACACGGAACCCTGTCGAATGTCTCCGGGCTTCATTCCCGGGAAGAACCCAGCTCCTGCCCAGCTTTGCCTCCCTGCCCAGGACAGTGTGCACCCCGAGCTCTCCTCTCCCGGAGCGCCCCGACCTCGTCCTGGCCCTCCCCCTCTGCCCCGGGAGGAAGGGGGAGGGCTGACCCTCAGCCAGTACCTGCTGGTTAATGAGCCGCCACCACAGGGGCCCCGGAGGCTCCGTGCAGCACAGGCCTCTCCCCTCACCGACGGCAGTGGGGGTTTGGATGTTCACATTTTGGTGTAAAAACAAGGCTTTATTCCGCTGTAACTCCCACACCATTCGCCAAGCGGAGTGCACAGCCCCAGGACCGTTAGCGTCGGCACGGATATGGGTCACCGCCATGTGTGACCGTTAGTCTATGTTAGAGCCGTTCACCTCCAGAAAGAGGCCTGTGCCCTTCGGCTCCCCCACCCGTCTTCTCTCCCCACCCTGCCCCGCTCGGAGCACCCCTGACCCACCGCCGTCTGCGTGAGTCTGTCTTCCAGCCACGTCACAGCCACGGGAGCACAGGATGCGTGGCTCTGTGTCAGGCTGCCTTCCCCGGGCATCCTGTCCTCAGGGTCCACCCGTGCTGGTGCGGGGGCAGCTGGGTGTTCCCAGGAGCCCGGGTCCTCCTCGCCCTCCCGCCAGGGGCCTGCTGACCTGCTCCCCACTGCCCGCAGGTGCTGAAGGTGCTGGACAGCACCTGGTCCACCATGGTGTTTGAGCACGAGCCGCACCCGCGGACGGGCACCATGATGCTCCGGACGGACGAGGTGCTGGTGGAGACGCTGGAGGACAACCAGGTGCAGCTGCAGAACCTGATGATGTCCAAGTACCTGTCGCACTTCCTGAACGAGGTGACGAGCTGGCAGCAGAAGCTGTCCACGGCGGACTCGGTCATCTCCATCTGGTTCGAGGTGCAGCGGACCTGGAGCCACCTGGAGAGCATCTTCGTGGGCTCGGAGGACATCCGCACCCAGCTGCCCGAGGAGTCCCACAAATTCGACGACATCGACAAGGAGTTCAAGGTGCGCCTGGCCGCCCCGCCCTGCCCGGCACTGTCCAGCTGGGACCTCTGACGCCGGGGGACGCGGGACTCTGACGCCGGGCGGCCCCTGCTCTTCCCAGGCCCTGATGGAGGAGGCGGTGAAGACGCCCAATGTGGTGGAAGCCACCAACAAGCCCGGTCTCTACGAGAAGCTGGAGGACATGAAGAAGAGGTGGGTCCCAGCCTGCGGGGACCAGGGCCGGCCAGGGCGGGCACAGAGAGCCCGGTCCTGGGTTCGAGCACCCTTTCCTTGGGAGCTGGTGCTCCCCGGCCACGCCATCCCCTCCAGAGGGAGCATGGACTGTGGGGATGAAGCCAGGCTCCCTCCTGCCCAGGGCGCCCACGGGGTCAGGGCGCAGGGAATGGGCGCCACGGGCTGGGAGCCACGCACCCGCATCTCCTGCTGCCAGTCCCCTGACAGGGTGGCCTGGAGGAGACCTGCCCCTCGGCCTCCAAACCTCCTTCCGCCCGCCCCCCTCCGCTCCGCCAGGCTGGCCGTGTGCGAAAAGGCCCTGGCCGAGTACCTGGAGACGAAGAGACTGGCTTTCCCGCGGTTCTACTTTGTGTCCTCGGCTGACCTCCTGGACATCCTCTCCAACGGCAACGACCCCGTGGAGGTAGGCGGCCCGCGCTTACCCTGTGTCCGGCATGTCCCCCGTGTCCCTGCATCGCCTCCGCAAGGCCGGCCACTCCAGAAACCACCCGGGGCCCGGCCATGGCACCAAGACCGGAGACTCGCTGTGGACCCTGCCTTTTACCTCCTGGGCCTCGATTTCCTCACCCGGAAAGTGGGTTGGATGCTGGGAGCTGAGCGAGACTCTCTTCTTTTTCTTTTTCTTTAATTTATTAACTGTCTCCCAGCTTTTATTTTTATTATTTTTTTCAAATATATTTTATTGATTTTTTACAGAGAGGAAGGGAGAGGGACAGAGAGTTAGAAACATCAATGAGAGAGAGAAACATCGACCAGCTGCCTCCTGCACACCCCCTACTGAGGATGCCCCCACCCCTCTCCCCCAATAAAGCCCGGGTCCCGGGAGGGAAGGAAAAAGGTTGCCCAGGCTCTTCTGAAAGGGGTGGGGGAGCCGCTAGACGGCGGACAGCAGAGGCAGGGCCACCGTCGTTTTTGTAAGTACAAGAGTAAGTCCTGTGTCCCGGCACTCACGGGTGTAACCCTTCTTTTGCCCAACCCGGGGGGGAGTCACAGGGTGGCCCCAGATGTCAGGTCTGAGCGTGTGACAGGGAAACAGTCCTCGTGGCTGGGCCAGAGCTTTTCAGGGAAGAGAAATCTCCGAACAGACCCTGTGTCTGCCCCAGGCCCCTGCCCCAGGCCCCTGCATCTGCCCCAGGCCCCTGCCCCAGGCCCCT